ATCTAATGGTCTCCATCCATCCTCGCCCAATACGACTGCAGACACTCAATCCTGCGCATCAACCTCGTCGCAATCACCATGCATCAGATATGGCTCGACTTCTGCCACTGGAAACACCAAAGTAACCAAAGGCACTCCTCTCTTCAGACAATCAACATCATCACCCAAGACATCATTCGGACAGAAAGTACCATCCTCCACAGCAAACTCCAACTTCAAGTTGCTAAACTCAGATCACAATCAGCTCCAACTGAACAAATATCGTCCCTCCTCACCAAAGCAACTATCAAACACCTGGACAAATGGAACTCCATAATCGACACTGAATATCTCGCCATGTAAACAACCAACACCAATAAACAAGTAGCCTAGAGTGTATATGCTCTTTGTAATTAAAAAAAAAAAATATTTCACACAGGAGCATATACACTCCTGGCTTCTCGATTTATTGCATTTGCATTTTCGATATGTTTTCACTTCGACCCTAGGGCATTTTTGTGGGGAGTGATAGTTGGTGTTGTCTTGTGATTTCGCACTTTCGAATTTGGACTCCAACTTGAGGTCTAGTTCGGGTCAGGGAAGCTTGACTTTCAAAGTAAGTGCTGCAGTTTACCGTCATGCCAAGGACAAACGAGTCACTTGAAGAAGTTAATGTMAACATCTCCAACATGAGTGCCTTCCTCAAGAGGAAGGCATTGGAGGATGATCTCGACGAGTCAATGATTGCTTTGAACATCAAAGGAGCAAAAGCCACCAAGCTCTTTGAAGGATCTGACGATGAGGATGATGAACAGGATGAGCCAGATCAACAATGGGATGACAGCGAGTCTGAGGATGAGTCAGATGCACCGAGTCCCAAGAGGTTGAACTCCAAGAAGACGAACAATACCAAACAAAAGACTACTACTGCTCCCAAGATACTCAAGAAGGTGACCGACAAGATTATCACAGAGGACATCTACAAGAAGACTTATGCCAACAAGAGAACGACATCTACTCAGTGAGGACACCGCCATTCGACCTCGTGGACCGGACCTATTCGATCATGTGGACAGGGCAAAAAAATAAATGGAAATTCCTAATCAATGTGGTTCGTTCGAGTTCGCGAACGACACGGGCATTACTGTTGGATTAGGTCGTCCACGTATTGGTTCAATGATCACCTTATATATCGCTCTGATAGGTGTGACAACGAACAACATTGTGAACTTGTGATTGTTGATATCTATCTCTAAGTTGACTGACTGATTACTTGTTGTTGAAGTGTTCTCAAACACTGGTGACTGTATATTGAATGTCTCTTTGTTGCTGATATCGATCTTCATGTCTGCAATAATTGATGGATCAATGAGACAGTAGTTGGCCCCTGTATCGACGATTGCTGAGGCAACTCTCTTATCTATCTTGATTTGAATAACATCGAGTGTCAACTCTTTGTTAATGTTTGTCTTGGTATCAACCTTGACAGTCGGCTCTCTAACCTTTGTATCATTATCTAATGATTGATTGTTTGGTGACTTGGTCTCAACCTTGTCCATGTACTCATTGGTCTGCTGTGTTTGAGTTGGAGAGGTCTCAACCTTCTCACTCTGTGCTGAATCTGTGTCTGTGTTAGAGATCTCAATCTCTGTAGAGGTCTCAACCTCTTCTATCTGTTCATGTTTCTTTATCTGTTTGTTTGTATTACTTTGTTGTTTGTGTGAATGAGTCTCAACCCTCCCATTGTTCAATTTATCAGAAGTTAATGTCTCAACATCCTTCTCATCGAATGAAACATCTATCAAGATGTCATCATATAGAGTATCAACTCCATCATCACTCTCTAGTGATTGATTACCCACTTGGTACTTTGTGATTGTTTGTTGTTTATTTACTGTTGCATCTGTTGCTGTATTATTATTATTTGTTGATTGATTTGATTGAATAGTAGTGATGTTGCTGATTGTGACTGTTTGCTGTTGTGTCTTATCACTTGTTCTTGTTTTGTCTCTCTGGGACAGTCGCAACACGGTGCTCTGTGGACTGGCATTGGAAGCATTGCCTGTGGCGATAGCTTTGGCTCTGCTTCCTCTGACCATTGGCATTGTAGAAGGG